GACTAGCCTTTCGAACTATCTACATGAGCTGATTGCAACTATCTCATTGCACATCACCGCGACGACATCTCAGCCCCTTCAGCATTTTAATTGTTGCTAGACTGGAAAAGAGTGTGGATAGGATGGTTCGACATTGCTGGCCTCCCATGTTTCTATGCATTTATATGTAAGTATAACTGTAACTTGAAGCAGAGTCGAATGGATGCCGTTTAACTGTGATTTAACACTTTGGAGACCGCGCGTGTTTTACGTTCCGCGGCCGCGCGGGACTTCGGTGAAATTTTTAGGGATCTTATCTAGCAAATTCAAAAGAAGAACCCACTGTATAATGCAGAAGAAATCTTATCGGATAAAATGGAAAAGAAAATGAATGAAAAACCTAATAATTGTTTCCGAAATGCGAGCTGAAAGGTCCTATGCGGTCGGAGGACTGCAGCCCACATATGGGCTGCGTGGGCTCCAAGGTGTTAATAAACTCATTTGTTAGAAATATAATGATGTAGTTTTCTCCGCCCATTACTCACCGTATGTAGATAGGGCGGAACTCCATAGTGTCAGTGTCAGCTCGACTCCTTTCGCACCATTCTTCAATATCTACTTGTATATACTGAATATTATTGGGAACATCAAGAAGTGTCGCCTACAAACTGAACCATCGACACTTTATATCTTCGTTTAGAGAGTCGTTTTGCACATTTGGAAGGTAGATTCGAGATCAGCGTCTGAGATGATATCTAGGTGTAGGCGCATTGCTTATTTAGTGGCCATGATGACTCAACATTCTTTACTTGTAAATTTCAGGATGAGTATACTGTTGGAGTGGACGGGCCTACTAAGTTGGCACCTGGAAAACTTTACTGTGATCCTGTAGTGTCGGCGAGCCACTTGCTCCCCACATCTAGTGCTTCCACCTTTCCCTTTCGTAACCACATCTTCGGCTTTTCAACTTATCTTTTTTTTGTCTTTCAGTTTTATGAGCTGTTGGTGCTACGATAAGTTATTGTTCGTTCATGTTTACTGACCACCGCTAATATGTAAATCGTAACAACATTTGAAGCGGCCATACGGTAGTGCAGTGGTAGGAGCCCCTGTATAACTAATAAAGACAAACGAAATTGTAATAGAATAAAATTATATGACACAAACAGCAGGCTCGTTCCACCTTTCAAATCATACGAACCATAGGAGTGATTGGCATTTGAGGCTTCTTCAGTGATTTAGTGCCGATCTTTTATTAGTGGGTAACTAGTCTCTGAGTAAAACAAAAGATAAGCGTAGAGTAATAAAGAGCAAGAAATGAGTGAATTCTAATTTTATTCTAATTCTGCCAGATGAAATAAAGAGCATTGACGACATTTAAAAACAGTCTCAGTCCAATGTGTTACTAATCGAGATTAGAGCAAGGCAAGAATTGTTGGCAAAAGAAATAAATTAATAGTAATGTAATGGAACAACAAAGTGTCGAAGTAGTTAGCTAGATTATCGACCTAACCACATAATATCTAAATCATTGTATGAAAGTTATGGAAGTTATGAAGGTATTAATGGTAACACTTATAAGAAAACTTATAAGCTACGTGCTTATTCCTGTGAACGCATTTAACAATGTTGGCTATTATGAACTCTGAAGAATACCCATTGCTAATCAAGTTAATTAAGTTTATCCCTAAACAAGTCTAATGTGGAACAAATATTAGCTATTCTAAGTGTTTCTGTATAAATTCTCCAGCTTTATTGTTAGTGGATATATTGGAATCTTTATGCGGAAACCTAATAACCTTAAAGTTGAAGTCAAGGTACTGCAC